ACTGTTAAATTATTTTATTAAATAATTAAATTATAAATATATTTAACAATCATTATTAAGAGTGTTAAAGTGATAGATTACTTTTATGTGGATGGCTTTGGAAATCTAACATGTTTTTGTTGTAATTAATATAAAATTTGCCTAAGAGTTTACAAAAAAATACGTTTTTTGGACCGAATTCATAAAAAAGCGAATTTTTTGAAAGTCAAAACAGAAAAAACAAATTTTATTTTTAGTCAAAGTCATCTTTTCCTTTTACCGTTTAAACGAATTTGCCGCAAAAAAATATTTTTGTTAAAAATTTTAAGACTAAAGTTTTTAATTAATTAACTTTAGTTTATTTAACTAATTGTATAAACTATATTTAATCAATAAAATTATTGAAATTAAATAATTTATAAAATAACATATAATTTGTCATAAAATACTAAGGCATAGTTAAGTGTGGATAGGCTGAAAAGGTGTGGATGGTAAATATATAGACAATCTTCGTTTTTACATGTTAAATGTAATGAGTAACATGCCTTGTATTTTTTGATGGTTTTTGTTGGTATTTGCCGTATGTTTCTATTCTAATTAACATGTGTTGTTATGATTTTTTAATAAAATAAAAAATAACTTATGGTTACAATGTGGTAATTTGCCATTTAACTTTTTAACTTTTTATAGTAAAAATTACATTTTATTCAACTATGTTAATAGAATTTGTTATTGTGATTATTCTGTCATTTTTATGTTCATTAATAATATACTATTGTAATATAATTTATTGTTATTAATTAATAGTTTAGTTTAGACATAAAACCTTTGTCTTTGACATTTTCAACAAAACCAGAATATAATTTAGGATGTAAAACCCTTTTTATACGTATAATTTGCGCCAACTAAAAGTCATTATTTAACAAATTTCAATTCCCAAATATTATTATTAAAATAATAAACTAATGGAGTGTTTATATAAATTACAATACTATTAGTAAAAAGTGATAATTAATGCGTTTTTGAGCCACAATTAACAAAAAATAATATTATTTAAATTTGATACTAAAATTAAATATTTTTTAATGCAAAAAACGGAAATTTTCCCAAATTTTTAATTTCATAAATCACTTTTGAAATGTTTTTTCAATTAAAAAACGAAAAAAATAGCGTTACATGTATCGAATAAACGGGATAATACGAGTAAATTTTGTTAGTAATTTTATTTGTTCATTTTGATCTATTCTTATTTTACCACTTCAAAAAGGCTGAAAATAGTGTTTTTTCTTACTATGAAATTATTGCGAAAATTGGAAATACTCTTTATGGGGGTATTCATGTTTGTGTATCATTTTTGTCCCATAAATGATTATAAGTAACAATTATTAATTTTAAAAATCATAACATATGGTTTAAAACGGATATTTGGGTTTTTTCGACAAAAAATAAGAGGCTATCCACACAAAATATTCCAATCCACAGGGATTTACCATTTCCGTGTGAATACGCCCTATCACGTTAACACTCTTTAGTACTAATATTTTTTTTAGGTTGTTATAAATGCTAGTTTTATGATTTTTTATTATTATCTCATTGCAATACCCACACCATTTCAAAACCTTGTTGTTTTCAAATAGTTTAATAATAATCCACTTATATTTATTTATTAACTTTGTTGTTTGTTGATAATAAAATATGTTTTTTTAAAAAAATTATATATAGATCTTATATATTCAGTATATTTCTTAAAAACAAAATGTGGAAGGTGAGAGTTGAACCCACGACTTTTTGTAAATTAACTTATAACTTAAATCAGAAAGATTTTAGTTAAATAAAACGTTTTACCAACTAAACTACCTCCACTTTTATTATTTTAAAAAATTAGTAATGTCATTAAATTAGTTCTAATATATATAGTATATTAAACTATTATTAAATAATAATAAATATTTTTTCCTTTAATTATTTTTGTAAATAAATTAATAGTTAATAATTAATAAATATTTAATATAATATAAATAGAATTTGTTATTTTTAGGAAAAATAGATACAACACCATTTAATCCAATTTTTAATTATTCTATCAAGTATTAAATAATTGAAATTAATATATCACACAACCTAATACAGCATTGTTGACAAATTGGCTTTTTTCCAAAAAGAAATAACTGGATATTAAACATTATATCAAAAACAAGGAAATAATATTCAAAAAGAAAAACACCATCTTATTATCAGAAAACAATGTCAGAACAGCAAACATCAACACAGCCGCCCAATCAAAACATTCCATACGACCGTTCTACAGTATATGGTAATCCCAATAAAGTATTAAACAAAGATATACCAAATTCTAATGGTATTAATACAAATCATTCCACATCAAATTCAGAGGAAGACCAAATGAGAAAAGTAGAGAAAGAAGAAGGCGAGGACAACGACACTCTTTTGAAGAGACTTGAAGAAGCAAACAAACAACTTGATGAATACGCTCAAGAGTTTATCAAACATGAAAACCAACGAAGTGTGTTTCAAAGTTTAATAAAAGAATTGCAGAGTAAAGTTGATATAATGCAGAAAAAGATAGAGACGTTTCAACACCTCCACAATAAGAGCGAAAAGGAGTTCAGTGAACTGAAGAGGAAAGAATTAGAAGACGAGAAACGACGACTAGACGAAGAGTACACCAGAGAATTGAAGATCAAACGAGTTGAAGAAGTTCAGAAGAGTAATAAGAAGATTATAAGTGAGTTATGGAAGGCGGACTTCGAAATGAAGAACACAAAATTATTGCAGCTCAACGAGGAGCTGGTGAAGGAACTTAATGACAAAACCGCACTCTTAAAAGAGACAAAACGCCTCAATAACACAGTCGATGAGTTAAGAAGACAGATAGTTGACTTGAAAAAAGACAAAATAGATATGACCGC